ATAACCTTGAGCAAGCGGGAAATTTGGGCTCTGAGAGGACTGGTACCTTCCCTGAGCTTATATGGCAGGCAGACGACAGGTATGGAGCTCATATCTCCAGCCCTCTAGCCAGTCCTCTGGCCCTACCCAGTGGTTTTTGAATGTACTCCAGGGAGGGAGGTCTGGCTGGCTCAGTTGGAAGAGCATGCGACTCATGATCTCGGGGTTGTGAGTTCGAGCACCATGCTGGGTGTAGAGATTACTTAAATAAATAAATAATTAAAAAAAAAAGAAAACACATATCCAGGAAGCCCTGAAGTTGTGAGAAGGGCTCAGGCTTGTTGGTAGGAGGTGGGAACACATTTCAAAGGGTGAGCTGATGGGGCCTTAGTTTGCCCCACCTCCCCGTACCTCAGCAGAATCTCTAGGGACACATTTACATCACATGTCTATTTTACACTTGTCCTTTCAAAAATTTATCCTTTCCCTTTCTCCCATTCTTTGAAATAGTTATCTAGTCTGAATGGTCTGTTTTTCCTAAACCTATTGATTTGGTTTCCCCAAATCACATATTTGAAAGAAAGGTTACCTCCCTTCCTTTTCATTCTCTCTTACCACCTCAAGGATCACCAAAGAGACTCTTCCCATTTGGGCTGATAAAACTAAGGGCTGTAAAGACTTGAGGTTGCTAAACTAGTAAATTCGAGTCGCTAATATGTCAGGAAAAGTATTGGAAACCCATCTCTACCCGTAGTAGCATCCACGTTCTCCAGCACCATCTCAGATTAATGCGAGCAGACTAGAGGCAGCACAGGATTTTAATTAAACTAATAACGTAAGTGAGACAAGTAGTAAACTGAAGAAAATGTCATTAAAAAAAAAATTCCTTTCCTTTCTCACTCTAACCTTCAACTGCATCTACAAGCAAGTAAATGAACAGGCAAACATTAAACATAGACTGCATGGAACAGCCTTGACTACCTTCTGGACCAACACCTTTGCATCAGAAAATATCTCAAGAAAGTCCGAGAACTAATTATAAGGAGGAAAGAGCAGGGAGGAAATGAATGTAATTTAGATAGTAAACATCCGCACTTCTTTCCCACTTCTGAACTCCCAGGGAGTACGCCCTCTCTTTAACCTTCATCTTAAGCAAATATAAGGCAATGCAAACCAAGCCAGGGTCTCTGAAGATTTTAGGATAATATTTATAACAATTTTTCCAAAAGCTGTCTGGCATATCATTTTTTGGAGTGGAATTCCTTGACCTGATTGAATTTGAGGCGTGCTAGAAACATCCGAAGCCCACTCCCAACCCACCATAACAACAAACTGCTCCCTGTCCAGATGCCCTTATACGGCCAGACTTCCTATAAATCTGACAGCTCAGTGTATGCATTGCGTATGGGTCTTGGCACGGAGTCACATTCCTTGGGGATGTTTCCCTGGGAGCTCTGATTTCCGCTTTGAGGGCTGGCACAGACTCCTACTTGCTCTTATAAGAAAATGTCTATGACTGAAAGTTGAAAATGTGCAAGATTCCTTCTTTAAGTACACAAACACTCTAAAGTCTGGCCACTTTCCTGTCGTCCTGCCAGGTTTTCTCTATGTCTGATACCTGATCAAATAACCTTTTTTTGAGGGGGGGCGGAAACAACAAGAAACATAAGAGAAGGAATGTAGTACATCCACAGCTGAACATCTTACAAGACTTCACCAAATGACCTGTACAGTGGTGCCTGAGTAGACACACGCATACCTTATATAGCTCCGCAAACAGGACTCAGTGGCCAACTTCATGAATTCCTCATTTAAAAAAAAAAAAAAAAGCCCTCTAAAAAAGCATTTGCTAGATAAACACTCGCTTACAAGACAAAATTAGTGCATCTTAACCATTTTGCACACAAATTCAAAGACCTTTCTCTCCCAGTTCTAACCTGCCATCAGTCAAAAGCGTTGGGATAAGTCAGAGTTGGACAAAGTTATAAGAAGCCACTATTTCCACTTTACCGCCCAGGTGCACACAAACATTTGCTGAGTCATTTATAATAGTGCAAGAATTCAGATCCCATGGCATGTGTTAAGGATGGAGCGTCAGCCTTTCCCTTTGAATTTCCTGGCACTTGATGGCCCCCGTAACACAATATAAACATACTTTTGAGTCTGTGAATATCTTGGGTGTCTTCTCATTCTCTCTCTCTCTGTGTGTGTGTGTGTCTCTCTGTGTCTCTGTCTCTCTCTTTCTGTCACTTTCTTAATAATGATCTTTCATTTTAGACTCTTCAAAGGAATTTTGATCACAAAGCCTCAACCTAACCTTCTAACACACAACATGATTTTTCTATTCTGAGATTCCATGTTCTATATATTTCAGTATATTTTCTCTTAGCCAATATTAAAATCATCCATTTGGAGCCTAACTATGGACTTTTTTGAGACTTCAAGGGACCATGTGAATTTTATAGTAAAACCAAATTCTTTTTATAATATGTCTTGTTATTTTTAACAACTCAGCAGAATGGTAGTATCCAGGCTACATTTGTGGAGAAAAAGAAAATCAAGAAAGATGGGGGGGCAGACATCAACTCCTAAGAATTTTAATCCAATTAACCATCATTAAATCCTGGGAAATAAAACATTCTCATTATCATCATTCTAATAATGCCAACTTAGAAATATGGCTCTTACTTCCCTAAGATTTGTGAATGGCAGTTCTAAGAATATAAACCAGGTCACCTAACTGTAAGCCAGTCCAGCAATTTATCCCTTCCATGAATGAAAGTCTCCACTCTGCTGTACGTGAGGCTATTTATTGGTGGTGGCTCTCAGACTCTCCAGGGCATTCAAAAATTCTCAACCATTCTCCCATCTACCTCACCCCTGCAAGCCACGAGAGATCACCACCGAGCCCACATCCCACCTTAGGTGAGGCTCCAGCTTCACATCCCTACCCTTCCCCATCTACCATACCTTCCCAACCATTAGTGGTAGACATAATTCAGGGCTTAGGTCTTGAAAGATTTCACTGTGGCTTCCCACATATTTTGGACTTTTAACATCATCCACGAGGGAAGAAAAAGTTGGGGGCCAAGTTGCCTTTAATACACATGTGGCTATTAACATAACTTGGAATGTTCCGTCTTTAAATAGGAACTTTTAGGCCTCTTCTCTTTGAGGAATGCTTGGAAAGAACACTAAATAACAATGTTGAAAATTCCTCTTGAGCTTCAGAGCCCCTCTCCTTGCTGGCCACTTACGCTGTGGACAGGCAACTACACTGTACAACATGGGCATTGCTTAGGGAGGTAATTGTGTACAGATGATGTGGTCGATGCTGAAGCTGGAGTGGCTCTTCTCTTCTTGGCTCTTTTTCAATAGAACGAATTGAAACATAAAAATGCCGCCAGTTTAAACAGGCTGTTTTCAAATTATAAATCTGTAGTGTTGCTTCTGAATGCTCATCTTTGCCTCATAAACAGGTGTCTTTATCTTAAACCTATCTAGTGAAACATCAACAACTGAAATGAATTTACTTACTGGTAACACCAGTGTCAAATGACGTGGCAACACAATAGAAAAAAAAATGCGAGGATCCTGGAATCATTCTTTTTACATAAAATGGTAACTGGAATTATTAACAACAACAACAACAAAAAGCAGTTAAACAACAGATTCTAAATGAAGGCATGCTAAATTAATTCTTTAGTGAAGCTAACTAGCAATATTAAGAAATGGAAATGTGCTTAGACTTTATTGGCCATATTTGACTTCTGTGCACAAGCAGAGAGAATAAAACCTGTTGTTTCCTTGACCTGATCTTACTCCACTAGGCTGTAGTCTCCTTGGATATAAAGAGGTCACAATCACTATTCATAGAAGTGTGGAGAGTTGTTACTAAACTATATTATTCACTGACACTCTCAGTTTACAACCAGAAATAATAGGGTACACTGTTCTTGTTATATTATCAGATTTTTTACTGCAAGACAAACCAAGTCCAATCCACATTTGAAGATTATAGGTTTTAGTATAAAAAAAAATCACTCATTTCTCAAAGACCCAAACTGTATTTAGAACACCTCAAGTAAACCCCAAGCTTCTTGCTGGCTCTCCTGTCTGATTCCCCTCTCTTCCCAACACCCAGAACCTCTACCTACTCAACACATAATCATTTGCTCTGACATAACAACAGACCCACTTTTCTGGAAATACTGATTGATGCGCATTCATCTCTTTTCTCCCTCCCTATACCCCCAACAATAAAACTGTTACATATATTAAGAGAACACAAAGCAAGAGTGCTGGAAATCTCCCCCAGAAAACTGCATCCATAGTCTTGACCCCTGGCTTTGTTCTCTTTCTGGTCACTCAGTAGGCATCCAAACCGTTATCTCAAGTGAGAAAAGATCAAATTCCTACATCTTCAATATGGAATGTGGACTTTGCAGGTAGGCTTCTTGGGGATTTCAGCTGGTCAAAAGCAACTAACTCCTTTTCAGCTCTCTGAAGAGTGTCAAAGGCAGACAGCCTCTAAAATTAAAATATTATAAAAATAATAAAAAGGAAACCCTTCCGAATTTTTTAGGGATCCCTGCTGTTAGCCTCTTTGGCTACCTATCTCCTAAAAAGCATTTATGTCAGTGGGTAGAGCGGGAACAGCTATTAGAAACAGAAGGGAGTGGTATAAAAAAAATAATAGTAATTGCTGATTGTTTTTCAATGATATAAATCAGGAGTGGTGCGAAGAAGCAAGAGGGAAAAAATCCTATTTGGTGCTGGAAATACTGAGCCTTTTTTTTTTTTTTTTTTTGGTTAGCTGGAGTGTGCCAGCTTTTTCAGACGGGAGGAATGCTGAGTGTCAAGGGGTCAGGATCAATCCGGTGTGAGTTGATGAGGCAGGAAGGTGGGGAGGAATGCGAGGAATGTCCCTGTTTGTGTAGGACTCCATTCAGCTCATTGGCGAGCCGGGGTTGCCCGGAGCGTATAAAAGCCGCGGGCCGCCCGCCTCAGCCTCACACAACAACTCTTCCCGCTGAGAGGAGGCAGCCAGTGCAGCTCCAACCCCGCGACCGACCGCCTCCCCGCACCCCGACGCCAGCCGCCCCGGCCGACAGCTCCCAGACCTCAGCTCGGAGCGCCCAGGCACCCACCTCCGGCCCGAGCCCGCAACCCAGCGCCGGGATCGCCGCGCCCACCCCGCCGCCGCCGCCGCCCGCCGTCCGCCCCGCCCGCAGCGCCCACCATGTCCGCCGCCGGCCTGGGCCTGGGCCCCGTTCGCTGCGCCTTCGTGCTCCTGTTCGCCCTCTGCGGCCGGGTAAGCCCAGAGCCCAGCGGCGGCCGGCGCCTGGGGGAGGGCGTGCGGGCGGGGCAGGGCCCGGGGCGCCGAGCGGCGTGCGCCTGCTCACCGCCCCCTCCTCCCCGCAGCCCGCCGCCGGCCAAGACTGCGGCGGCCCGTGCCACTGTGCAGCCGCGCCGGCGCCCAGGTGCCCGGCCGGCGTCAGCCTCGTGCCGGACGGCTGCGGCTGCTGCCGCGTGTGCGCCAAGCAACTGGGCGAGCTGTGCACCGAGCGCGACCCCTGCGACCCGCACAAGGGACTCTTCTGCGACTTCGGCTCTCCCGCCAACCGCAAGATCGGCGTGTGCACCGGTAAGAGCTGCGGCCCGCCTCCGGGCCCTAGTGTCCCGGCCGCCGCCGCCCGCCCCCCCACGCCACTCCCCCGGAGCCCAGCTCCCCGCGCATCCCCGACTCGCTTACTGCTACCGATGCCTGACCCTTGCATCCCCCCGCCCCCTTTGTGCCCTTCCTCTCCTTCAGCTAAAGATGGTGCCCCCTGCGTCTTCGGAGGAACGGTGTACCGGAGCGGAGAGTCCTTCCAGAGCAGCTGCAAGTACCAGTGCACTTGCCTGGACGGGGCGGTGGGCTGCGTGCCCCTGTGCAGCATGGACGTCCGCCTGCCCAGCCCTGACTGCCCTTTCCCGCGGAGGGTCAAGCTGCCCGGGAAATGCTGCGAGGAGTGGGTGTGCGACGAGCCCAAGGACCACACCGTGGTTGGCCCTGCCCTTGCCGGTGAGTTGAAAAGGCCTCAAAGTCAGTGTTGTGATCCTGCCCCGCCAGGGGCTGTCTCCTAACTTTGCCAAAGGAAGGGGGAAATGTCTTGTCCTGGCGTCTTACCTTGTGTTTGTGTGCTCTGCTCTTACAGCTTACCGACTGGAAGACACGTTTGGCCCAGACCCAACTATGATCCGGGCCAACTGCCTGGTCCAGACCACAGAGTGGAGTGCCTGTTCCAAGACCTGTGGAATGGGCATCTCCACCCGGGTTACCAATGACAACGCCTTCTGCAGGCTGGAGAAGCAGAGCCGCCTCTGCATGGTCAGGCCTTGCGAAGCTGACCTGGAAGAGAACATCAAGGTACATTTTCTGCTCCTATTAACTAGTTTTCCTGTAATCATAATGGATAGGATCAAAGTTGGGTCTCACCGCCCTGGTTATTATAGACCTTTTATCTCCAAAAATATCTCACCATCGAGTTGTTTTGCTGGAATGAAATGTTGTGTAATAGGAACCCCCAGCTTTCCACTATGAAATTCTCCACCCTGTTAGTTAATTCAAGACATCCCCAAGAGAGGCTATGTCTATTTTTGGGAAACTGGCAAATGAGACTCAAACTTCCTCTCCTCAAAATATAAACAAAAGTCAGACAACTTAAGACTAAAACACACAGAGCTTGAAGAAAGCCACTCCCCTTAATAGAGTCATTGATTTTTTTTTCCCCCCTTCGGTTTTGTCTTCCTTAGAAGGGCAAAAAGTGCATCCGTACCCCCAAAATCACCAAGCCTGTCAAGTTTGAGCTTTCTGGCTGTACCAGCGTGAAGTCCTACCGTGCTAAGTTCTGTGGCGTGTGCACGGATGGCCGGTGCTGCACCCCACACAGAACCACCACTCTTCCTGTGGAGTTCAAGTGCCCCGACGGGGAGGTCATGAAGAAGAGTATGATGTTCATCAAGACCTGTGCCTGCCATTACAACTGTCCCGGAGACAATGACATCTTTGAGTCCCTGTACTACAGGAAGATGTATGGAGACATGGCGTAAAGCCAGGGAGTGTGAGAGACACTAACTCATTAGGCTATAACTTGAACTGATTCACATCTCATTTTTGTGTAAACATGATTTCAGTAGTGCAAGTTATTTAAATCTGTTTTTCTAACGGGGGAAGAAAAAGTCCCACCAAATTCAAAATAGTGTGTCATGTGACCTTCAAATAGTCTATCAACCCAGACACTGGTTTGAAGAAAGTTAAGACTTGACAGTGGGACTACATTAGCACATAGCACCAGAATGTATACTGAGGTGTAGCTTTGGGAGCAGTGGGAGGGCACCTGCAGAAACGATTGTCATCTTAAAGTAGTATGTGCCTGCTCTTTGGAGTGTAATTGAAAAGGAAAACTTTAGCATGCTCACTGACCTCCAGCGACAGCTAGGATGCACGTTCTCCAGCCTTCCTGAGGCTGGGTCAAGTTCTTCTTTAAGTCAGAACAGCAGATTCAGCTCTGACATTCTGATTTGAATGATAACTGTTCAGGAATCAGAATCCTGTCTATTAGACTGGACAGCTTGTGGCAAGCGAATTTGCCTGTAACAAGCCAGAATTTTTTTTTATTGATACTGTAAATATTGTGTGTGTATATATATATATATTTGTACAGTTATCTAAGTTAATTTAAAGTTGTTTGTGCCTTTTCGTTTGTTTTTAATGCTTTGATATTTCAAATGTTAGCCTCAATTCTGAACACCATAGGTAGGACGTAAAGCTTGTCTGATAATTCAAAGCATGAAATGGATATTCAAATGGAAATTCTGCTCATCAAAACAGATTGTTTACTGAATATGAGGCAATGATGTCCTTGGAAGTCTGATCTGTCAGTTTGAAATGTGGTAGCCTCACTATTAATGAACAAATGGCCTTTATGAAAACACGAGTGGCTCTGTATAGCTGATCAGTTTTTCCACCTGGAAGCATTTGTTTCTACTTTGACTATGACTGTTTTTTGGACAGTTTACTTGTTGAGAATGTGACCAAAAGTTACATGTTTGCACCTTTCTAGTTGAAAATAAAGTATATATTTTTTCTATAAAAAGTGTGGTTATTCACTTACTCTTCTAAATATTTGTTTTGAGTATATAGGGGAGGCTTTTATTTGTCTTAAAACAATTCATCTATAATTTTTTAAATCTCATATACTGATAAATTGGTTAATCAGTTCAATAGAATTTTACATAAACCTATTTCACACTGAATCAGAATCAAGTGTCACAAACTTGCAGGCATACATTGTGTGTGTGTATATATATATATGTATATATATATATTATTGTATATATGTGTGTGTGTGTGTGTGTGTGTGTGTACAGAGTACAGGGCATTTTTTGTTACCTTCACAGTACTTTATAGACATTGAAATTCAATTCTCTTTGGATAACTATTCTCCAACAACCCCTACTGGTTACACTTGGTCTTGTTTACATTTAATACCTCTGACCATTGCAGGCATTTAATTTACAACCTTTCACATCACAAACTAGTCTGTGTGCCTTATACATTGGAAAGGTTTTAACTATTTTTTGAGTTTGTATGCTCTACTACAGATCTATTTCTGAACTTTAATAATTTCACTGTTAAATCTGCAAAGTAAAATCTGCATTTAAATGGAACCATTTGATAAGTTGCGTTTTTGTATAATTCTGTTTTCAGTTGCCATGATAACCAATCACAAATAGATGATGGCCTAAGTAGAAAAGGAGCATAATTTCTGTTAACATTAGTAGAAATTTGTCTTAAAAGCAACATCTCCATTGCCCCAAGCTTTGGACTATCAGATTTCAAGATCAATAGCTTACCAAGTAGTTGGTAAGTGACAAAATGAAATTGTTCAAGAAGCCTGGAAATGATACTGGACCTAGCCAGGCCTCTTCCAAAAAGTCAACTGAAGTAAGTGGCAAACGAAAATATTCCAAAGACAACTGAAAGCACAGTTTTCTCCAGATCAGTATAGCTGTGGATTATGGCGGGGTGGGGGGGAGTTGCAGACAAACTAACCCATCACAGGGTAATTAGCAATGTTGTAGTGCCAGTGTCATTCCAAGAGACAAAAATACATCTGAAAATAAAGACTAGTTCTACAAACAGTGTCCATGCCACAAACCAAAGGGAAAACTTCCTGTGTTCAAAATGTGCAAAGTATTTCTGGTCGAAACATTGGACTTTTAGGATACACCCACATTCGTATATAGCAACATTGTCGGCAGCTATACGCCACTTCCCCAAATAAACCCACATGTACGCACACACGCACACACACACACATTGCCTAGTCCACATGTTCTTTCTGTGAATATACTTTTAGATGCAAAGATGAAGGGCCATGATAAATGAGCCTGAGTGTTTTATATTTTTTTTAAGATTTTATTTATTTGAGAGAGAGAGAACACAAGCAGAGGGAAGGGTGGAGGGAGAGGGAGAAGCAGACTCCTGGCTGAGCAGGGAGCCCGACACTACGGGGCTCAATCCCAGGACCCTGAGATCATGGCCCAAGCCAAAGGCAGATGCTCAACTGACTAAGCCACCCAGCCACCCAGCCACCCTGAGCCTGAGTGTTTTAAAAAGAATTTGAGAATTCTGGGAAGATAGAAGTAGCAACAGAAGCATAGATTTTAGATTTTTCAATTTTCCACATAAAAACAGAGTAACTATATTGCAACATCAAAATCCCATGGACAATATTTGCAACAAAATTAGGTGGCAAGGCATCCTTTTAATCCCAAAACGTTAGGGGGAGAAAATCATCAAACGCCACAAGATGTGCACTGTGTCAGCATATGTGTGGGAACAAAGAGATGCAACAGGATATCTGATACTTCTGAGAAGAGAGCTCCAAAGCAGCCAACAGTGAAGTGTGGGAGACCAATTTGAGGGTAGGGGTTCTGCCCAGTCAAATAAATCTTACAAACCAGAGTTCTCTCCCACGGGAGCATTCCATGCTCGTGGGAATGGAATTGAAATTGAGCAGATCAGAGACAACAAAGACATTGAAAGAAAAGGTCTAAGTGAAAATGAGGAGAGAAACAAAGGTTCAAAGTGTGAGGAAGTAAAGCCGCCATATTTATAAAATCACATGAAAACAATAAAAGAGGGATACCTGTGAAGTTCGAAACCAAGCGTCCTTACAGAACAAAGTTCAAGAAACCTAATTTCACGTAAAAAATAGGAAAACAAAACTATCAAAGCCAATTCCCATACATTATTATATGAAAATAATAAAGGGCAGAATAAATCCTTACAGATAATAAAAGCATGTCAGAAATACATGCCCAGAAAACACATCAAAACTGTATTATTTCAAGAGAACATTTAAAAAATGAGAGTAGACATAAATGATAAAAAGGAAACAACTAATGACATAAAACAGCAACATATGTCAGAGTTAGTAAAACTTAGAAATATGTTGATAAAACTCAGGAAGGAATTGGAAATAAAAAAAATACATCAAACAAGAAGGAACACAAGAGTGAATAAATACCACAGATAATTCTTTAAGAAGAATAGATGGTTAGGAGGAGGAAGGAAATTTTTTAAATAAAAAAAAGAATGAAAGTGTTTCAAGAAAAATTGATATATATTATAGATAAACAAAGAAGATCTAACATATGGATAGTAGGAGTTCCTGGAGAAGAAAACAAAAGCTATAAATCAAGAAAACTTTACTGAAATAAAAAGTGATTTGAAAGCACATATTGCAAGAGCGTGCCATGTACGTAATAAAACCCACCAACACCAAGATGTATTCTAGTAAAATTTCTGAAATATAAAGAAAAAGGAAAAATCATCAGAACATCTAGGCAAAGAGAACATGAATCTTTTAAGTAAAAGGAAATTAACTCATCATCAGACTTTTTGACAGCAACACCTTATTTATTTATTTATTTATTTACTTACTTACTTACTTACTTACTTAAGCAATGCTTTATACCAAAAAATTGGATTAACATTTAGGACACTCAAAGAAAGAAAATGTGAATTAAAGAAATTTTATCCTCCAGAACTGACATTCAAGACGGACAAATTGACAAAAACATGCAAGAATTAGGGTGCCTGGGTGGCTCATTTGGTTAAACAGCCAACTCTTGGTTTCAGCTCAGGTCATGATCTCAGGGTTGTGAGATCGAGCCACGCATCTGGGCATGGAACCTGCTTGGGAGTCTTTCTCTCCCTCTCCCTCTGCCCCTTCCCTGACCATTCTCTCTCTCTCTAAAAAAATAAATAAATAAAATTAAATAAAAATAAAACATGTAAGAATTTACATCATTTTGTTCCTGTGGGCCCTTTCTGAAAAACCCTATTAGAGAAAAAGCTCAGAAAACAAAAATATCTCAGAGATACTAATATAGAAACTGGTATATGAACATTAAATATAGCTTATTTTGAGGACTAAGATTCAGTGAAGTTTAAAGAGGAGAACACATAGTGTACAGTGGCTATACAACGTGTTTTGACAGCATAGAACGCAGCCATATAGGGTGGGGGAGAATGGACATAGCGGACACCTGCCCCCAAATATTTAACTGCTTTTATTGGTGGTGGTGGTGGTATTGTTATTCAGAGACTGTTGGGTGTATAATATGGGATAAAGCAAGCGAGCCATTATGGATATTCTAATTCTATCACTAGTGTTGGTGAGTACTGGGATTCCTAGTGAGGAAGTCACAAAATACGGATATAATATAAAAGTGGTTAAGTTAAATTCCGTATTTCTTAATTTGAACTAGAAATACCAGCATAAACTTATGATGTATTTTATCTCCTAACACACACACACACACACACACACATTTTTTCCTACATCCGCTCCCTGAAAAGACTTAGATACAACAACAACTCAAGAGGAATAAGCATTCCTAGGCTACTATCGTGCTCTTGAAATACTATTTTCCACTAAAAGAAACGAAGGCTTCTTGGAGAATGGCTTATTCCAGGTCTAGCACAAGGAATGTGTAAGATAAATACATTTAATCAGGGACTACCTTTTCATATTGGATAAAAATGAAGCTAACAAGGACAGTTAAGACCATATCAAAAAGGTACAGGAGGCAAATTTAAAAGACTCCTATTAAAGATGGGGCAATTTGGGACGCCTGGGTGGCTCAGTTGGTTAAGCATCTGCCTTTGGCTCAGGTCATGATCCCGGGATCCTGGAATCGAGTCCCGCATCCGGCTCCCTGCTCAGCAGGGAAGCTTCTTTTCCCTCTACCCCTCCGCCCTGCTTGTGATCTCTTTCTCTCTCTCTCAAATAAATAAATAAAATCTTTAAAAAAAAATAAAATGAAGATGGGGCAATTTGAGTGGCTGTAAGGATAAGAATTGCAGTACATTAAGATCATCAACTGGGGCGCCTGGGTGGCTCCGTCGGTTAAGCGTCTGCTTTCGGCTCAGGTCATGATCTCAGGGTCCTGGGATCGAGTCCTGCATCGGGCTCCCTGCTCTGAGGAGAGCCTGTTTCTCCCTCTCCCCCTGCTCCTCTCTCTTTCTCTGTCTAATAAATAAAATCTTTAAAAAAAAAAAAAAGATCAACTCTCCTTAAATTTTTAGTTCATTCTGATAGTTAAAGAAAAACACCTAATTGGTGACCTGAGAATGACAGAGAACCTATTCATTATACACAAGCTCTCTGATGATTTAAGTATCAGACTTTTGGTACTCTACACATTTCACAGTGCCTCAGAAGCACTCAGCCCAATCTGTACCAACCCCAGACATAATTCCAAGCTGACTTTTAAAAGAAATAAATCTCTTAATTTATGGTAATCATCTCGTGATGGTTAGTTTCAAGTAATTTTATATTCTTTTAAAATAATCTTCTGTATTTTTCCAAATTCTCAGACATGAACACACATTATTTTATAATCAGAAAAAGATTTTTAAAATAAATCTTTCAAAAAAATAAAATAAATCTCTTATCTCCTTACTAAATCATACAGAATATAACAACATGTGTTTGAAGTTTTCATGATTTTGGATTTAATGAACTGTTCACAATATATAAGTAAATAAATGGCTTAGCTATTCAAGCCACTATTCCTTAAT